CCGGGCTGTTTTCCATCACATGACAGGCAGGGAGTCCGAAGTGAAAGAAGTGAGATGCTAAACCACAGCCACACAAACAGCAGCAGAACCAAAGTTTGAAACCAAGATGCCCACGGCAATGCCCACACTTCCCGTTGAAGCATACTGAGTCCTTAAAAATACTTGTACTTGATAATAATCACCAGAAAAGACCTAAAATAAGAAGACTCCTCAACCAATTCTCTCTCTCTCTCTCTCTCTCTCTCTCTCTCTCTATATATATATATATATATATATATATATATATACACACACACACATACACACACACACACACACACACACACACACACGAGATGCGGTGCGTATTCGTACACAAATGGGGTCTGGCCAGCCTGCCCCATTGGGGTCAATAAGGCCTGGCCAGCGGGGTGGTGGTGGACAGGGAATATGGGAGGTTGGCCAGCCGACCCCACCCCAGATCGGGATGGGAGGATGATCAGGGCCAGGCTGGCTTGGGGAAGGGATCACAAGAGGTTGATCAGACTGGTTGGCCGCCGCAGTGCGCGTCATAGCGACTGGTCATTCTGGTCATTCGTCATTCTGGTTGCTTGGCTTTTATATATATAGTTGTTGTTTTAATTGATTTCAGAGAGGAAGGGAGAGATACAGAGAGATAGAAACATCAATGATGAGAGAGAATCATTGATCGGCTGCCTCCTGCACATCCTCTATTGCGGGGGGGGGGGGGGCGGTGATCAAGCTCACAACCTGGGCATGTGCCCTTGGCCAGAATCAAACCTGGGACCCTTTAGTCTGCAGGCCGACACTCTATCCACCGGCTAGGGCCTCAACCGACTCTTAAACACCCAGCCAATACTGCAAAGCTGCCATTGTCCCAGCACATATATGCAGAAAAGTCACCCTTTTAGCTTTGGAGAAATATCGATGCTTCTAGAGGGGCCCCTCAGCCATACCTGCCCAGCCTGGACCACACGGCAATTTCAGTGGAGCTGGAATCAAGTTCATGGTTAACCTGTTAGAGTCCCAATGTCCTGAGCCGCTTGTTAATCGAATAGGATACAAGACAAAGGGAGTTTGAAGGAGGACAGGCTACGTATATCGTCTTGGCTCAGCAAATCACGGCTCGCGAGCCACATGTGGCTCTTTGGCCCCTAGAGGGTGGCTCTTCCACAAAATACCAAGGCCTGGGCGAGTCTTATTTTGAAGAAGTTGAAGTTTAAAAAATGTGGCGCTCCAAAGAAATCTCAATCGTTGTGCTGTTGACATTTGGCTCTGTGGACTAATGGGTTTGCCCACCACTGCCTTGGCTGAATGGCAGAGAGAAGCGTGATTATTTTCCCCCCTAAGGATCCGGGCTCCCACGTTATCATTGACAATCATCTCCTAATTAGATGGATATTTTGCAACACAGAAATCTGTAAGCCTGACATTTACACGCCTGCCCTTCGCTGATGGGAAAGACGGAGCAAAGACCAATTATTTGTGTGGCCCGTCTGCCAAAATCCCGTTCTCAAGGAGACTTAACGTTTATTAAAGTCACTAAACTGTCCAAATCCAAACTATTCCCATCTTCTCGGCAGTGGTCTCATTCCATCACCCATGCCGCCTAAAAATACCGTTTCCCATCAGGCAGTGCAACCACAGAGGCCATTAGGAGGCAATCAAGCCCCTGGGAAGCCTCTGATTTGTCCCCCTGTGCTTCCCCCCCGCCCCTCACCCCATCAATTAGGTTCGGGAAGGCTGGAGGTGAAAATGAAGGCAATAAAATCCAGGCCGCCATCCCCTCCTCCCCCATCCTCATCTTTCCCTCAAAGACCACGGACAGCAGCAACTGAGGAGAGAGAAAGTTGAACCATGGGAGACCCAAGTTCATTATCACCCCAAGTTCACGTGTCTGTGTGCTGCTTAACGGAAATAGCTTAGACCTGTGGTCATCAAACTGCAGCTCGCGAGCCACGTGCGACTCTTCCACAAAATACCACGGACCGGGCGAGTCTGTGTGGAAGAAGTGGCGTTAGAATGGGTTTATGTTTAAAAAATGTGGCTCTCCAAAGACACGTCCATCATTGTGCTGTTGGTAGTTGGCTCTGCGGACTGATGAGTTTGCCGATCCCTGGCCCATAGGAACTGTCCTAATACATCGATCCGACCCACGCCCCTCTCCAAGTGAACATTGATACCTGCCTAAGGTGAATACTCTTTAAAGTTCAAAATACAATGTGTTGATTCATTAAAAAAAAGAAGAAGATAACGTGGCCTCTAGTGAGCAGATATTACATGCAAAGACCACAGAGGACGCAAAAATCAGAGGCAAAACACTGTCCCAGGAAATCCATGATGCCGTGTTGTGTGTGCACACAGACATGGAACATATGACTTTGGTAACTAGCAAATGATAACCAAGAACACTGCGTTTCCTAAAATAAATCACCTGGCGGTTATTTGTACCAAACGAAGTTATTTTCCCCCCCAATGATTATTTATCAGAGACATCTTTTCTAAAAATACATTATGCGTGTCATTCACCCCAAAGAGCTAAGAAAAGGCCACAGTGAGAAGCACAAGCAGCTCTAAACTTAACTAGCAAAATAGGAACACTGAAAAGAATGAGGCACTGAATTTCTCCGAGGAGTTATTACAGTCTATTCACAATTTGGTGCTAGACAATGTATACGGTAAATTCAAAATTAGTAACCTGAAGCTCAGATACACAAGATAGTCCAATAACTATTTCTAAAACCCCCAGTCTCCTTCTTCATTTATTTTCATGATAATTTGCTAAATAAGACTCATGGATTGGTGCCGTCTAAAATTTTTTTTCTAATCAAGATAACTCAGTTGACTAGCCAACTCAGCCCCAATCTGTTCTGTGAAACAAAGAGAAGGAAAAAAAAAAATGTAGTTTGACCTATTTAGCCACTGTCATTTCACACCCAAAAGCTCAAGGCTCCACAAGACACACACCTGCGAGATAGAATCATCCATGCCCCAAATTCCTTCAAAATTCAGAATCACACCCAACAATAAAAGTCTTATACATTATTTTAAAGCACACAACTGCCCCCTCCCAAATAGCTTTTCTCATAACCAACTCTGCATAGAATGAGCACTCAGCCAGTTATTGCGATCCATGGAGAAACACAATAGTAATCGTTTAGGCTCAAGTGGGTTCTTTTCTTGCTTTATAACCTTTGGGATGCTTGAAGGCTAAACCTGGCAATTCACCTCTACCTTTGTTTTCCATCATACTACGCTGTCACAGACCCATCCAACTCTCTTCACAGATACTCAACCTAGTGCTGTCCGCGAGGCTAGGGAGAAAAAAAAACAAAAACCCACTAGCATCGGGTCAAGGTGCCCAGACACTTTCACAGTAAAATAAAAGTATTCCCTCCAGCCCTAGCCGGTGTCGCTCAGTGGATAGAGCGTCGGCCTGTAGACTGAAGGGTCCCGGGTTCAATTCCCGTCAAGGGCATGGTACCCTGGTTTCGGGCACATCCCCAGTAGGGAGCGTGCAAGAGGCAGCTGAATCGATGTTTCTCTCTCATCATCGATGTTTCTGACTCTCCCTCTCCTTTCCTGTCTGTAAATAAATCAATAAAATATATATTTTTAAAAATACCCCCCCCCCCCACATTCATCATCACCTCTGCCTGATTCTGGGCCCCACAGAAGGGAAGTCTGGATTTATCTTGATCTTCTAACTCAGGGGGTGGGGAATGTCGGCCCGCGGGCCCCATAAGGCCCACGAAACCATTTGGCCCAGCCCTGCTAATAATCAAAGTCCTCAAAAATGTCCTTGGTTTCCAGGTAATGGTTTCCTTTTATTTTATTTTTAAATATATTTTATTGATTTTTTTTTTACGGAGAGGAAGGGAGAGAGATAGAGAGTTAGAAACATCGATGAGAGAGAAACATCGACCAGCTGCCTCCTACACACCCCCTACCGGGGATGTGCCCGCAACCAAGGTACAAGCCCTTGACAAGAATTGAACTCGGGACCTTTCAGTCTGCAGGCCGATGCTCTATCCACTGAGTCACACCGGCTTCGGCAATGGTTTCCTTTTAGCTGGTGCTAAGGTTAAGTCAAGAAATCCTGCCCAATACGCATGACAGATGCTACGCTAAAGAAAAGAAGTAATAACCATGGCGAAAAAATGCAATAGAAGTAAGCAGTCCAACCTCAGTAATGCTGATTCGTACCAGAGTGACGAATTACCTACGCCATCCCTCCGAGGCGTGCACAAGATTCAAACATATCTTTGGTATCATGGCTCAGTAGTTAGAAACGTGTTGCTGATAACAGCACCCTTATCAAAGGCATAAAGCTGTCAGATTGGTTTGTGGCAAAACAAAAACAAACACAAAAAAACCACCACAAACAACAACAACAACAAAACACCTCTGTTATAGAAAGATTTATTTAGTGGGCATATGGCACTACCACATACATGCCCACCAGCAAACCGATAAAAGTCACACCAAATAAAAAGACCATTTAGGCTGAGACAAACATTAGCAGGATGGTGTGGAGAGGGGGTAAAACCCCGAGACCATCCTCCACGCACAGACACACTCACTGTTGTTGAAAAGGGGGCTTAGTTTCCTTTCTCATGGGGAACTTTTATATTATTACAACCCGAACGCTCGCAAGGACAGCATAGGGAGAGCTACTTACTACACCTTATGAAGGAGGCTGTACCATCATGTGTGTAACACACGAAACATAGGAGAAGATGCTCATACATTATTTTCTGTTATTGCTGATCGCAGGTTCAAGCCTGTGGAATCAGCCAGAAGTGTGAGGACAGACAGGACCGGCTGCCACCCCTATATCTCTGATGGGGACCCCAGCTTGTCCTCCGGCCCAGGTGCTGGGGTTCAGGGTTAGGAAACCCACCGGGGCCAGGGAGTAATTTACGGTCCATCCATACGGCAGGGGGGCACCCCGAGGAGGCCAGCTGCCCTGTTTCTCCAAGGAAAACCGGACACCTTACCTTCCGGTACACCAGCATGTTGGGGGATTCGTCCGCCACCCCGTTGCTGGTCTGGCCGTAGTGGTTCCCCTGGGCCATGTCACCCCACACGTGGTCGGCGCTGGGGGGCAGGAGTTCGCAGTCTTCGCCTGCCAAGGGAGGGGTGAGGGGGACTTCAGGGCGCCCCGAATGGCCAGCCAAGCGCTCCAGGTGGGGCGGCGATGCTGGAAGAACTACAGCATCCACCGCACCTGCCCACCTGCCCATCCATCCATCCATCCATCCACCCATCCATCCATCCATCCATCCATCCATCCATCCATCCATCACTGCACCTGCCTATCCATCCATCACTGCACCTGCCCATCCGCCCATCCATCCATCCATCCATCCATCACCGCACCTGCCCATCCATCCATCCATCCATCTATCCATCACTGCACCTGCCCATCCGCCCATCCATCCATCCATCCATCCATCCATCACCGCACCTGCCCATCCATCCATCCATCTATCCATCACTGCACCTGCCCATCCATCCATCCATCCATCCATCCATCCATCCATCCTCCCATTCATCCATCCATCCATTCATCCATCCATCCATCACCGCACCTGCCCATCCATCCATCCATCCATCCATCCGCCTGGACCACGCTCACCTGCGGGGCTGGCGGGGGCGGGGGAGGGAGTGGCAGGAACAGCTTTGATGCAGTTTTCTAATTGGATTTTCTAATTGGATCCACAGTACACCCCCACCCCCACCCCTCGCCCCCCACCCAGGGGGGCTGGAAGCCAAGGCCACCCGTGGGCTCCAGCAGCCACTGGGCTGCAGCTTCCAAGGGGGTGGCTTTTCTGGAAACTCCTTTCGCAAAGAGTTTGGTGCTTCAGCTGGGAAAAACCCCAAACCCAGGGCTCCATCCCCTCACCAGAGTTCTCTCCTCACACCCGCGGGTCCGCTACCCCCCCCCCCCCCCAAAAAAAGGGCGAGAGGGGCCGTCTGCGCCCACAGTCTGTCCCGGGGTCGGTCTAGTCCCCCCCTGAACCCCTCTCTGTCCCCCCAGCCCCCGGCGGGCGTCAGCGATGCCCCTCCCCGGACAGGGGTCCCCTCCGGCCCGCGCCTCCCCCACGGGCGGCTCCTGCGCCCGGAACGAGCGCCCCGGGAACCAGGGGGGACCAGGGCGATCCCGGCCCCGAGGACGAGATCCCGAGAAATCCGGGGCGCGGGCACGGCGGGGGCACGGGTGGGGGTGCAGCCCGCCCCCCGGCACTCGCCTGGATCCCCGCGGGGACGCCCGCCGCCCCGCAGCCCGGAGCCCGGAGCCCGGAGCGCACGGGGGGAGCGCGCCCCGCGCCCTGCGCCCTCCCGGCGGCGCCCAGAGCCGGAGCCCGAACCGGAGCCCGAACCGGAGCCCGAACCGGAGCCCGAACCGGAGCCCGAACCGGAGCCGGAGCCGGAGCCCGGGCCGCGGGACCGGCCCGCAGGGCGCGGTGGGTGCGGCGGCGCCCGGGCCCCGCTGGCGCCGCCCCCGCCCCGCGCCCCGTTACCTCCGCGCCAAGGTCACGGCCGCGGCGTCTGCTCCGGCGGCGTCAGCGGGAGGCAGGGCCCCGCCGCTCCATCCGCTCCGTCCGCTCCGCCCGCCGCTCCGGACCGGCACCGGCACCGGGACGGACCGGACCGCCGCCCCCGCCGCGCGCAGCGGCTCCCGCGCGGCCGCCGCTCCGCCTCCGCCGCCGCCTCCTCCGCTCCGGCTGCGGCGCCGGGCCCAGCGCCGACCGCCCGTCCGCCCCCGTGCGCGCGGCCGCGAGGGAGCCGGTCACGTGGGCCGCGGCCGGAGGGGCGGCGGGTTGGGCTCCGGCTGCACGACCGACCGCGCCGCCCGGCCTCCCGCCCCGGGGACCCGCCCTGCGCCCGCTCAGGCCTGGAGCCCCGGAGGCAGCCGGAGGGAGGGAGAGAGGGAGGGAGGGAGGGCGGGGGGGGGGATGGAGGGATGGATGGAGGGAGGGAGTGAGGGAGAGGGATGGATGGGTGAATGGATGGAGGGAGGGAGGGAGGGAGGGAGGGAGGGAGGGGTGGGTGGGTGGATGGATGGATGGATGGATGGGTGGGTGGGTGGGTGGGTGGATGGATGGATGGACAGACGGGTGGATGGATGGACAGACGGGTGGATGGATGGACAGACGGGTGGATGGATGGATAGGAGGATGGGTGCTTGAGTGGGTGGGTGGGTGGATGGATGGATGCGTGGGTTCATGGGTGGTTGGATGGATGGGAGGATAGGTGAGTGGATGGATGGATGGATGGATGGGTGGACGGGTGGGTGGATGGAGGGGTGGGTGGATGGGTATTCCTACCTTCTGTTATAAATGCTACTATCTAAATCGATTTTACATACACCCTCGTCTGACCATCTCCCACTCTTCCCCAACTCCCAAAATATTTCCAGTGTGCTGTCTGGAAATGACTATCTTTTTCAGCAAAATTGCTTCTTTTTTTTTCTTCCACTTCTCTGAGTATTTCTTTCACATGCTTGCTCCAGCTGAAACCGTAGCCCCTCGTTCCCCCCCGCTCAGTCTCCGCCTCGGAAGTTGATGTGAACTGGATTGAGAAATTTGGAAAAAATAAGTGGGCATGCTCGCTCAGTGTGTCCGTTTCCCCTTAAGGAACCTGAACTCGTATCGGAAAAGGGAGCGCGACCCCACTGCTGGTGGGAACGCAGACTGGCACAGCCGCTGTGGAGGACAGTATGGCTTTCCCTCAACAGGTTAAAAAATGGAACTTCCATCGGACCCCGTGACCCTGCTTCTAGGAACATACCCTAAGCCAGCGGTCGGCAAACTCATCAGGCCACAGAGCCAAATATCAACAGCACCACGATTGACATTTCTCTGGAGAGCCACATTTTTTTAAACTTAATCTATCTAGGTAGGTACGTTTTTTATTACCTTAATGAGGGAACTCCTCAGCTGGCCTTTGCTAAACACTCAAGGGGCCAAAGAGCTGCCTGTGGCTCGCGAGCCGCAGTTTGCCGACCACTGTCCTAAGCAACCCGAAACACCAATCAGAAAGACTGAATGCACCCCTATGTTCACAGCAGCACAATTCACCGTAGCTGAGATCTGGAAACGGCCTATGTGCCCATCAGCAGAGGAGTGGATAAAAAAGCTGTGGTACCTACACCATGGAATACTCTGCTGCTGAAAGAAAGGAAAGAAAGAAAGAAAGGAAGGGAGGGAGGAAGGAAAGGAAGGAAGGAAGGAAGGAAGGAAGGAAGGAAGGAAGGAAGGAAGGAAGGAAAGAAAGAAAGAAAGAAAGAAAGAAAGAAAGAAAGAAAGAAAGAAAGAAAGAAAGAAAGAAAGATAGATCTCTTACCCTTTGCAACAGCATGGATGAACCTGGAGAGCATTACGCTAAGTGAAATAAGCCAGTCAGAGAAAGATAAGTATCACATGATCTCACTCAGATAAGGAATCTAAGGAACCAGATAAAAGGGTGATCGGAAATCCACCCAGAGACATAGAAGCATGAACAGACTGTTGAATCTCAGAGGGGAGGCGGGGTAGGGAGAGTGGATGGGAAGAGATCAGCCAGTGAACTTGTGAATCAGCCATGGACAGAGACAATGGGGTGGGGAGGGCCCAGGGTAGGGGGGACAGGATTGGGCTGGAGGAAGTTCATGGGGGTGGAAAGGCGGACCTGTGAAATACTCTCAACAATAAAGATTAAAAAATTAACATTTTCAAAATAACACCGACTGCCCTAACGGGTTTGGCTTAGTGGACAGAGCATCTGCCTTCGGACTGAAGGGTCCCAGGTTTGATTCTGGTCAAGGGCATGTACCTTGGTTGCAGGCACATCCCCCGTGGGGGGTGTGCAGGAGGCAGCTGATCAGTGTTTCTCTCTCATCGATGTTCCTGACTCTCTATTCATCTCCCCTCCTCTCTGTAAAAAAAAAAAAAAAATCAATAAAATATATTTTTAAAAAATTAAAATAAAACAAACACACCGACTTAGCATCAAGTTTCTCCGGGATGGAAATGATCTGCCCCTCCCAGCTGCTTCCTGTGTGTCTTAAAGGGGAAGCGTGGTTTCCCACCACACGCCTACCTCCTGGAGGAATGATTTGAGCATTAATTAAATAGTGAAGGGGAGAACACACTTCGAATTTCAAAGAGAAAGCGTTCCATTCATTTGAGGCTTTTGTCTGTGTGAAGAGAATTGTGAACGGGTGCAGGGGCAAGAACGGAGACGAGAACAATGTGAGAGGGATTACACTGCTCACAGTACTCCGGCATTTCCTGAGATAATTGATGTGAAATATAAGCAGCGTGAAAATAATAATAATAATAAAATAAAAAAAAGTGGTTTGAGAAATCTTACCCCAAATGACAGATTAAAAAAAAAACAAAAAACAAAACACCTCCTTCTTTGTCATCAATACTCAATGAGTGATAGCATCAAGCCCTCCGTGAATTCTTCTCCCTTTTGTCCATTTTATGACCAGTTCCCAGCTCACTGGAACTCCCACATCCATGTCAGAGGGCAGACAAAATTAAAAAAAAAAATTATTTTTATATATATATATATATATATATATATATATATATATGTATACACCACAAAAAAAAATTCTCCTCCTTGGGAGCTTATTCCTCTCTCCTTCCTGTTGAGATGTTTAAATTCTGACTTAGATTCCTTCCCAAATGACACACTTTTAAAAGGTTCTGCATTTGCCCGGCTGGTGTTGCTCAGTGGTTAGCATCAGCCTATGAACCAGGAGGTCACAGTTCGATTCTCCAGTCAAGGGCACAGGCCCGGGTTGCGGGCTCCATCCCCAGTGGGGGGCGTGCAGGAGGCAGCCGATCCATGATTCTTACTGCCAGCCACTTAGCTATTCATTGAAGGGCCCACGAAATGAATCTTGAGGGAGGCAGTCAGGAAGAGAGAGCTCCTCGAAGCGACGGTGATGACTGTGAGAGGTATTTTGACCAAGAAAGAGAAAGCTTCGGTGATTGGTGATAATTATCTTAAAATGTTAAATGACTCTCGTGTGAGGGGAAAAAAAATACCCTCACTGATCTTCAAGCTCCAGACAAATCTGAATTTAATAGGTAGACGTTCCAGGCAGGCAGATTCCAGCTCAGTACGAGGATGTGCTTTCTAGCAATTAGGGCTTCTCGGAACAGCCGTCATGCGTTGCATGTCCCTGGACCCAGGTCTAAAAGGTGATTAAAGAGGTTGTCGTTATACTGAGGAAGGGAGAGAGAGAGAGAGAGAGAAACATCAATGAGAGAGAATCATGGACCAGCTGCCTCCTGCACACCCCACCCTGGGGATCAAGCCCACAACCCAGGCCTGTGCCCTGACCGGGAATCGAACCCTGAACTCCTGGTCCCAGGTCTTCTTAAAGACATCCCAGACCGACATTTCCCACTTGAAGGCATCATCACAAAATCCATTTTAAACCAGGTCCATGGAGTTCAAGTCAAGCACACGGTGACTCCAATGTCTGGGGGCAGGTAGAACAGAGTCGCTTGAAGCACACCAGTAAGTCCCCAGGAAAAGGGCTAAGATGACTCAATACATGTACCCTGGTTGGGGGCCCATCCCCGGTAGGGGGTGTGCAGGAGGCAGCTGGTCGATGTTTCTCTCTCATCGACGTTTCTAGCTCTCTATCCCTCTCCCTGCCTCTCTGTAAAAAATCAATAAAATATATTAAAAAAAAAAAAAATATATATATATATATATATATATATATATATATATATATATATATATTTGTATAACTGATGATACATTGCCAAAGGGAGAAAGGATTAAAGAAGCCGACATTTTGGAATTCTGAAGGGAGGGAGAAGCTGCAGAAAGATAAGCTGAGGTTTGGTGAATGCTTTATAGCTCAGGGCGTACGATGTCAATTCTGGTTGCAAACTCGGGGGCTAATAATTTGGGGTTTTCCCAAGCTGAGGGCAGAAATCAGGGGGAGAAATGGTGTAAGACTCACAGGAGTAGAGAGACAACAGTGGAGGCCTGAAGAGGCAAAGTGGATGGTCTCTATCAGTGGTTGGCAAACTGCGGCTCATCGGCCCCTTGAGTTTTTATTTTTTTATCATTTTATTTTATTTTATTGACTTTTTACAGAGAGGAAGGGAGAAAGATAGTCAGAAACATCGATGAGAGAGAAATACCCATCAGCTGCCTCCTGCAAACCCCCTACTGAGGATGCGTCCACAAGGTCCATGCCCTTGACCAGGATCGAACCTGGGACCCTTCAGTCCGCAGGCCGACGCTCTATCCACTGAGCCACACCGGTTTCGGACCCTTGAGTTTTTATAGCAAAGGCCAGCTTAGGAGTCCCCTAACTAAGTCAATAACCATGTATCTACCTATAGAGTTTACGTTTTAAAAATGTGGCTCTCCGAAGACATGTCCATCGTTGTCCTGTTGATATTTGGCTCTGTGGACGGATGAGTGTGCCGACCACTGCTCCGTCCAGCCTCTCCTCCCACTGCACCTTGTCCTGCTGAATGCACGTGAGAGCTTCAGGATGTGCGTTTCAGGAGCCAGAGAGGTTTCGCCATCACACTTACTCCGGGTGAGAGGCCCAGAACTGGCATGCAGCCCCAGGCTGTCAGCCCTGGAGCCCGGCTCCTTTCTCCCCCGTCTCCGCCTCCAGTGGGCCCAGTGAGAAAGAGGAGATTAA